GTCCAAAAGGCATAAGGATTGGTAGGAAATGTTGAGTTAAAAGCCTGTGGTTCCAATGCACAAGAAGTGGGATGTTGTGTGTGTGTGTGTGTGTGTGTCAGCACTTGAGCTGAGGGAAGAAAAGTGGCCCCACATGGAGATCACAAAGGAAGAAATTGGGGTGGGTTTTGGATAATCCTGCACCAGGAAATGGAAGTTTCTTAAAGTACAGTTGGGTAAAGGCAGGGAAAGCAAAATCCATTACAATGTCAACCAGCCTCCAGAAATCCCATTGTGGCACAGGGAAGGCTGCATTGCAAAGCATGGAGAGGGAGGGCAGTGAGACTCAGGCAGGATGAGCGCCTCAGGTGAGGGATAGAGGTGGAGTTCCTCTTCATCACTCCTTCCATCCCCAACACCATGATGAGGAGAGCTAATCAAACAGCAGAGAATACACAGGAGGCTCAGATGTACTACAAATGCTGTAAAATGCATCTGGGAAGAAAGCAAACACAGCATAGGTGTATTCCCCAGAGCAGCATACACTGGAGAGCTGAGAACAGTAAAGCAGAGCCTTTGGGATTTACAGCCCTACCTCGGCATGTTTTATATGGGGAGCGGGTGATACCCAGGAGGATCCAGGGCAGAAGCAGCAGCAGCCTAGTGTTAAGAATGGCAGAAAGCACAGCTCCAGGCTAGGAAATTTTTTTCCCCAAAGAGATGCTGATTCCAGCACTTCAGGACGACAAAGTCGCATTTTTTTATTGTCTTTTTTTTTTCTACAGTTTTCCCATGAAGGCCAATTAAACACAGAGAAGACAGACAGCGACCAGTTTGCCTCCTGCTGTCATAGCTCAGCCCATGCCTTCCCATCTCCCAGTGGTCCTTGCTTTGTAGTGTGCTTGGTGCTCTTCCCCTAACGCAGCACCCTACACAGCATCCCACCAGCTCTCTCCTGCTGGCCCTGCTGTGCATCCTACACCTCCCTTGCATGGTGTCAGTGCCCCAGCTCTGCAGCTCCCTCATGCAAACCTGATCCGCAGCTACAGTTCCCTGGGTTTCCTATTTCCCTGCTAGCATCTCTGCTGCAATGCTACAGAGTCCCCTGGCTTTCCCCTTCCCAACTCTCACCTCTTCTGAAGCATTTGCCCATTGCCTTTACAGTGCCGCTTTCCACTTCCCTTCTGACAGTCTATTTCTGCTCCCTTTTAGTAAGCTGTAGAAAGGGAAGCTCTGCAGCAAAGCACCCAGCTGGGCTGCGCTCATGTCCATATGCGTGCTTAGGGAGGGAGAGAGGAGGAAGAGATCTCACTTGGAGGCATTCATGGATGCGGGACTGACAAGAAAATGAGCAGAAAGAAGTGACCGAAATATCAGACCACGAGCTCAAGAGATCAGCGGGAACCACAGATGGTTGCATCATCCCAGAGAAGAAATAAATGACTGACTGCACCGGATTAGAGCATGAAAACACTGACAACAAAGAGAATTAATGTCCTCGTAACTGGACTTTGGCCTCACGCACTGCTTCAGCCATCTCCTGCCTGGGGATATTGTGCTGTGCATGATTTGCTCTCCTTGAAAACCACATCTGTCCCAGAGGCTGCCTACCTCAATCTAGCAGTGAGATATAGGTGATGTAGCACATAGAGATATTTCAGAGAGACAGGACCCATTTGACAAGCAGTGGCTTGAGAAGGGACTGGAGACAATGACTCCCAGCTGGAGAGATGGGACAAATGTATTCTATAGGAATGGCCTGTGGAGGGAAAAGCCATCCCTTATCTGTACTTCTTGACAGGCAGAATCACTACAGGGCACGGTTTCTTTATGACAAGTAGATTGCTTTCAAGTGTGATGGGAGTGCCGGCTTACTGGTGTCCATTGGAAACACCATAATTCTGAGCGTTATGATTTATTGGGACTCAACAACCTTATTTAGCAAATGCAACCATGTGCTGGGATTTTGGCAGCAGTTTTTCTCAGAATATCCACTGACAGGTGACAGTTCTTTCTCATTATTTATTATCCACTTATTTTTTTGAGGGCAGTGAGGCGCTGGCACAGCTGCCCATAGAAGCTGTGGGTGCCCCATCCCTGGAGGCACTCAAGGCCAGGCTGGATGTGGCCCTGGGCAGCTGAGCTGGTGATGACAGCCCTGCCCACAGCAGGGGTTGGGGCTGGGTGGGCTTTGAGGTCTCTTCCAACCCAAACCGTTCAATGATTCTATTTACCGTTCAATTTAATGGCCTGCTCACATTTATATACTTATTTCTTAACCGTTCCCTAACTGAACATGTTCAAAGGTAACTGTGGCACACATGCTTTTATTTGCTTAGAGGAAACTGGGTTGTTTCACATACTTGGGCACTTTACTTTGAAATTCAATTTCCACAAGCCTTTGTGCCAGTAAAACATGAGCATGTGCATTGAAAGTTAACACAAGAAATGGGTGCGAAGAACACATTTTTGGGATTCTTTTTTATAAAACTCATTATGTAGATCTGAAATTCATAGTCATGCAAACTCTGAGGCATCACTTCATAACCAAATGAGAATCCCAGAAAGAAAAAAAAAAAAAAAAAGTACTAGAAAGGCTACAAAGCGCCCCATAAATATCACAAAATTAAGAGTAGAAAAAACAGGATTCGCATCTCACTGATTTTCTTTTTATTGCCACGGCTCTGCAAACATCTTCTGGCTTTGTTTCCTGTGCTGCTTTCAGCCTGCTTTGTGCAGACGCAGGCAGCCCTGCTTTGTCCCATCGCTGCCAGCTCCTGTCCCTGTCCGTGCAAAGGGCTGCGCCCGTTGCTGCCTCTCCTCCTACCCACACGCCCTTCATCCACACTGCCACCACCCACCGGGGGAAGGATGGGAAGAAATCGTCCTCAATGAAGGGCTGACTGAAATCACAGTACTAAAAGGAAAAATAATTGTTCACATCAGACAACTCATAAGCGTCCTGCTCCCTGTCATCATCTTTGGAAAGGACACCTTGGAGCGTCTCATATGTTCCCTTAGATTGGTTATAGGGAAAACAAAAGCCGAGATGGGTCCGGGGGGAGCCCCGTGCCGCTGCTCGCAGTGCCGCTGCCCCATCCCCAGCGCTGTTTCCCTCCCGCTGAACACCACTTACAATAGGAATAACCACTTAATTAGCGGCGATATCTATTAACCGCTTGTTTGTTAGAGCGTGAATTACCAACCAGCCCGCTTCTCGAGCCGCACCTCTACATTCTTCTTCTTTAATTACATTTTTATCCAGGAGGCGTCACGGTCGCACGGTGAGCGGATATCTCCGGGGCTGTCCCTCCCCGCGGCGATGCGGAGCCAGCAGCGCCCCGAGCCCGGCCCACGCGTGACCGCGGCGTGTGCGTGGTGGGGGGGAAGACCAGAGCAGTGTTCCGGAACCGACCTGCTGCGGTCGGGCAGCCCCCGCCCCGCCGGGCTCTCCCCACCCCGAGCGCAGGGGAGCCCCGCAACCCGCCTGGAGGGGGGCAAAAACTTCGCAGCACCCTGCTCTATCTCCCCGCCTCCCCCAGCCCCGGGATAAGCCGACCTTGCCGGGGGGATCCTGAGGATGGGGAGGGGTGAACCGCGGGCTGGCTGCTGATTCCTGAGCCCGGAGTGAGCCCCTTTTCCCATAGCCCTGCGGCGCTGCCCGTAATTGGGCTGGGCCGGGGGGAGGCTCGGAGAATTGGGGAGGAGGCAGGGCTCCGCCGAGCGCGGCCGCTTTAATTGGCTCCCTTTTTTTTTTTTTTTTTTTTTTTTTTCCCTTCTCCATAACCGTAAGGGAATGAAATGGTGAAGAGAGGAGGGGGAAAACCTGGAAAGCCGAAGGGAAGGAAAAGACGGCACGTTCGACAGAGCCAGCGGGCGGGGAGGGGTGAGCCGAGCCGAGCCCGGGGCGCGCTGCCCCCGGACGCACCGTCGGGGGTTGGCGGAGCGCAGCGGAGCGCCCGGAGCTGCTACGGGCAACTTTGTGCGGGCGCTCACCGGCGGCTGGCGGGAGCAAATCAACTTCTTCCGACTCCGTGACCATCCTCGGCGGCGGTTCCCTTTCAGCTGCAGCCCCCGCGGCAGCCGTCGAGGGGAGCGGCTCAGAGCCTTCGGCAGCTGCAAATCGTCTGCGCGGTGCGTGGAGGAGAGGAAGCACCCGGCAGAATCCAGCTCGCAACATCGGGGAAAGTTTGGAAGGGAGAAGGAGGCGGCGGGGAAAGCCGGGCTGAGCCGCGGGGTGTGCGGTGGGGCTGCTCCTCGCCCGCTGTTCCCTTCAGGCTGGCTGGGGAGATGCTGTACAGCTGGGAGAGCTCTTAGGAGACGCTTTAAAAAAAATAAAATAAAAAAAAAAAGAGGAAAAAAAAAAGGAAAAAATAAACAAAACAACCAACCCTTCCTGGATTTGATTAATTACAACAATCCCCTCCCCAGAAGATTTGGAGAAGACAATACCTATCCCTCCCTCCCTCTTTCAGCAGCTGGCTCCTAGCCCCCCCTCTTTGCTCCCCCTCCTTTTTTCCCTCCACCTCCTCTTCCCCCCGTTCGCTCCTGGGGCTGCGGCCAGAGCCTCGTCGGGAGGAGGGCGGGCGAGGCTCTCCCAAGTTGGCCCCAGTTGGCAGCACTCGGGGCAGCCCGTGACTCCGGCGGCTGAACAAAGGAATCCCCTTTCTGGGAACGGCGCTGGGCCGGCCCGGCTCCTGCTTCTGCTCTGCCCCTCCGGATCGGCCTCTCCCGTGCTCTGGGCATCGTTTTCCTGGACATCCCCGAGCAACCTGGCAAGGGAAAGAGAGAAGCAGCGCTCCGCTTTCCAGCCCTCCCCGCTGCCTTCCCTCGTTCTCTTCTCTCTCTCCTTTTTGTTTTATTTTTCATCCCCTTTTTTGCTGTTGTTTTTAAATTCCTTCCCGGCGGCCTCGTTGGGGGGGGAGTGGGGGGTCCTTTCCTCCGCCCGAGGGGCGCCGGTGCCCGGCGGAGCGGGCGCATGGGGCGGCGTTCCGGGAGGCTCTCGCCCGCTCCCCCGCCGGATGCTGCCAGGGCTGCTTTGGCTGCTGTTCTTCGCCGGCGCTGCCTTGAAGATGGAGATGATCTGTGTTTTATTCCTCTCTCTCGTGCCGGCGTACAGCAGGGGACAAGGGGTTTACGGTAAGAGACGCGGCGGCGGCTGCTCGGGAGGGAGGGGGGAGGCGAGGGCGCGGACGGCTGCGATGGGATCAAAGTTAAAAAGCACCTGCAGCGGAAAGTAAATGATGCCGGCGGAGCTCGCCGCAGCTCGAGCGGAGAGATTGATGCAGCAATAGGGCTCCCGGAGCCTGGAGCTACTTTGTAATTCCTCGCCGTAACCTCTGGCCGCCAAGGATTGACGAGCCCACCGGGATGCTCGCCCCCAAGCGCTGCCACCGAGAGGAGCGGGGAGAGCGCTGCCGCAGGGATCGGGTCCGCCCGGCCCGACCTCTCCAGCCGCCGTGGGGCCGCCCCGAGCGGGAGACACTGCGCCCCCGAAGTGCGCTTCTTCGGTGCGGAGGGGAGGACCGGGCCCGAGCCCCGCCATCCCCACGGCGCGCTCCCGGGAGGCGAGGGGTGATGCTGCCTGTGCACCCTATGGAACTTCGATGCTGCCCGTTTTCATCCCGAGGCGGGGGTGGTGATAGCAGAGCTGACGGAGAGCTTTTCCATTTCTTATTTTTATTATTATCATTGTTTGGACAGCGGTGGTGCTTATTTTCTCCCCTCGTTGGTGGTCTGTGTGGCAAAACCCGAGATCCTGCAGCCCCTCAGCCTCCCGGGGCAGCGCACCCGAATCCCTGCCGAGTGCTAGCCCTGGGGGACAGCCGGGCTGCGCACCCCGGCCCTCTCCCCGCCCCTTCCCCTCTCCCGGCCCTCTCTCAGTTCTCGCTGTACAAGCTCTGCATTTCCAATACACTGGGAAAAAAAAAAAAAATGAAGAAAAGCAACCCACAAGCCTTGCCTCTCACAACAAGCCGGCTTTATTTTGGCTTACAACTCAGTTGTGCGCTGCTGTAAAGTCCTTCTGGGAGGCACGGCGCTGCCTCTAACAAGCCCGGCTCTCTACGCGCTGAAGAGAGACCCCAGTGAGAGCAGCCAGCCCCCTCCTCCCCCTTTTAGCAGTTCCTTGTGTGAGCCCTGGCAGAGCTTGGTTCAGTCTCACTGACTATGGGTATGTCTTTGTAGGTCACTTTTTAATGATGTATTTCTTCAATGGACACAATTCCTTCTTTCTCCTTGAGGGCCGGGATGTTAATTTGAGCGTAGGTCTGGTTTGTAAAATAACCATCTTAAATAAAGGGTGGATTGCTTCCTTTTTTTTTTTTTTTTTTTTTCTTTTTTTTTTCCCTCTCTTTCATCCTCCCAGTTTGTAAGTCCGGAGCAAAATTGCAGGGAAATGAAGAGTGGAGTGGGATTGTGGTACAGAAGCCTGATCTGGGTGGGCTGTTTGATCCTTTAAGCAGGCAGAGCGCTCCCAGCTGAACTTTCTTGATTTTGTTTCAATGTGTTTGCTGCTGGGTGTCAGAGCGGCCTCTCAGTGAGAGGGACCGAGCATACACCTGCTCCTGCTTAACTGTGCCTGAGGAGGCTGTGTGTTCATAAGCACAGTAAACCTGCATTTGTTGGAGTTGTTGCCGAGTTACATCTCCAGAACAACTTACTCATGGCTTTGTCTTCTTCTCTCAGAAAGAGAACGGAGAAGCTGCTTGCAAATAAAACTCAGATAGACTGGTGCCGAGATGAGCATCATCACTTTGAGTCAAAATGGGTACTTCTGTCTGTTCTCGTCCGTAGCTGCACAAAGGAGGAATCCGCCCCCTTTCCTGCTCCCCCCCTCCCCATGTTTCCATCTATCTCTGAGGCTGGGAGCAGCCCCAACCACTGCCAGGACAGCTAAAGCGGGATTAGGGAGTGGTGCTGCTGCCCCTCTGCTCTTTGTGCCCTAAATGCGTGCCTCCCACCAGAGCTCCGGGCTGGCTGCCATTGGCTGTGCTGTGTTGTGAGCAAAGCTCTGACTGTGGCAATTTTGGGAACTCAGGTATCGTGTCTCAGGTCCATTTTTCTCCTTTTGAGTGTTTTACACCGATGGGGACGTGGAGAGGGGTGTGTCTTGGTCTATAAATATATTTTGCTTCAGTAAATCTGCTAAGATTAAATCAGATTAAAGCAGATAAAGTATCCATGTGATGTACTCTTTAAATAATACACCCACGTGGATGCACACAAAAGACTTCTGTCTGAGAGAGCGGAGTTGTTGGAGAGCTTTATTGAGGGGAACGGCATAAATAAAGCGTGTGTAAAGGGGCTGCTGGGAAAGGAGCGGTGGCACTGGAGGTGCGATTTAATTAGGAGTCAAGGTGCTGTCAGCTGCTACCCGAAGAGGCTGCTGTACAAATTGGCATTTGTTGTAATGACTGACGAGTGTCTAAAGCCCTCTTCTCATTAGCTGATTCCACCTCTCCTGCCTTGTTGGTTGGAGCAGGACGGGGCTGGCCTGGTGCACAGAGGGCAGCTCACAGGCTGCTGAGGGGCAGCTTCTGTCAGGCTTTTGCTGTGCCCTGTTCCCAAACAGTGCTGTCCTGTTAGTGCTGCTGTCGGCATGAGGTGCGAGCTGTGATGTATGTATGGGAAATGCCACTGTTTGCAGAAAGAGAGGAAGAGACAGCAGGGAAGGGCTGCTGCTCTCACATGCTTGAAGTTAACAGTGCTTCAACACTGAGCGTTAGTGGAAGGGGAGGAAAGGAGGGCTTCCGAGGGGATGAGTGTGCCTCTTGTCTCCTCTTGCAGCTCCGAACTTGTCTCAGAACTTGCATAGCTCCGATGCAGTGTGTGCGGGGCTGTGGCTTTACTTCCTGCATGTGTAGCATACAGCTAACATCGCTGGGTGCCCAGCAGCCAGCACAGCCTGGCTGAGCAACACTAGGGCAAAAGAGAGCGGGGTGCTCTGCCCCTGCCTGCTGTAACTCACCTGCTGAAGGGTGCATGAAGAATCCTTCAGAATAGCTCCCACCAGGCCTTCCTGGAGCTCTGAGCGCAGCATCGCCTGAGCTGGATGTTTCAGCCCACACGTGTGTCTTTGCTGCTTGTTCTGGGGGAACAGACATTAATGTCACCTGGAGCCTGCTGTCCCAGACCATCCCTGTCCCCTGCTGCCGGTCACTGCTAGGCAAGGAGCTCTCAGCTTCCTTGGTGTTAGCCTCATGCCTCCCATGCACTCTGAGATGGGGCAGCAGGTCGCTGGGTAAGGCAGCAGTGGGGCTGTCTGGCTGCTGCCTCTCGGCTGGCCTGTCTTGGAAAAGGGGTGTGTGAGCGGGAGGATAGGGATGGCTGTCCCCCAGGCTGTAATACAGCTGTGTCATATACATGTGCACGATATACTGTGCATGTATATATATGCATCCTTTTCTTTGAGCTCAGCCATTTCTCCTTGTTGTCCATACTTTAAATCTTTGTTGACTCAGCTGTACCCTTTGGTTCCAGGTATTTTGTAACTGGAGGGCTACACCCAAGGATTGGGCTGGTCCAGAGCTTGCATGCTTCTCCAGAAGCCCTGTGGGGTCGGGGCATTAAGTCTGTCCACCTCATGCTTCCCCTCACTGCGGCACTCTCCAGAGGCAGTGTATCAGTCTCGCCCTTCTGTGCCACCAGAGCCTGTGTTTGGAGGTCAGGTCAGCAGCTTCACACACCTGATAAACCCTCAATTGACTTTAATATGCAGCACTGAAGAAACGACATTATCCTTTTGACAGGTTGTTTGCAACTTGCTGGTAGGAGTCAAAATATTTCAGCATAAGTGTCACCAGAAACCACCATCCTATGCTAATTTTGGTGGGAACATGAAGACAGATGTTGGATAATTTGACATGAGCAGCGCAGCTTTTGAAATTATCACCATGTCAGGTTTGCACTGGATTTATCTTTTTTTTATTATTATTATTTATTATTACACGTATAAATTTCAGATTATTTTAAGAGATGGGGTGGAAGATGCAGTAAGATCTCTATAAGCAGCTGAGGGTAGCCTTGGAGGTTTACCAGTCAGACAGCAATTCAGCAGAGGCAGTGAGGGATGCTGTGCTGCTGGAAGTGCTGTTCTTATTTTAAATAAGAAGACAAAGAGACTGGAGACTAGAGATGGTGTGAGGCTTCCCTCCAGCCAGAAGCCTGAGTGTTTTCCCAGATTTGGGCTGAAGTTACTGTTATTCTGCTCTTGATTGATGACGTCTTGGTTTTCCAGTCACTCCCTCAACCCATACTGTGTTCTTTAGCTTCGTTAACTATAATTTATGCCAAAGAAATTTGCCTGCACAACTACAACTCATGGAAATGTTGAGGAGTGGGGTTAAGTGCCCCTTTCCCAGGCTGGACCAGGCTCTGAGCAACCTGATCTACCTTAGGTGCCCTTGTTCATCGCAGGGGAGTAGGGCTGGATGGCCTTTAGGGGTTCCTTCCAATTCAAACAATTCCATGATCCCACCCAAACTCCAGGCTCCACCTGCTGGCTTTAATTCGGGCTGGGAAAATGTGTCAATATCCCCCAGACTTGCGGAAGACAGGAGGGGGCCCTGTTGTGCAGGACCCTGGGATGCACCAGGGGAGAAGGGAGCGTGTGTATTTTGTGTCTCTACACTCATGTTTAAGCGGTGAGATTTCTCTGCTCCTGGGATCCAGAGTGCTTGCTTTGAAAGGAAAAGAGCTTTCATCTGCCTTTTGTGGAGGGGAAGGGGCTGGAGGAACAACAGAGATTTATTTTTATAGCCAAACGCCTGCTTAGTGCTCAAAAGAAGAAATTAAATGTGAGATGCCCCGTGGAGATGGTGATTAAAAGAAAAAAAAAATTAAAAAAATTTAAAAACCGACATGGTGTTAAAGATCTAGGAAAGAAATAGAGAATAGGGGCCAAGAAAGAGAAACCGGGACATCTCTGATCTTGGCTCAACAAAAGTCGAGGCACAGAAGGGCTCGGCCGGGCCAAGATCTGTTTGGAGGCGGAGTGCCGAGACCGACATCGCGGCTTTACGCGGAGCATCGGCTCCAGCTCTGCCCTACTGTCGGGGGAAGTCGCTCTGCCTTCGGGCTCCAGCCCAGCTGCGGCACATCTGGGCCCGGGGCCGCGCCGCTCCGCCGTTGCCCGGCAG